TAAGTTTTTCATTCCTTTCTCAGACTTTGTTACATTGCTAGCATTTGCAATAGCAGAATAAAGGGCTTCTGTAGAGTAGCTTCCATTTATGTTGGTGGTGTTGGAGCCCACAGCTGCTATAAAGTTGCTGTTAACAAGAGCAAGGACGTCCTGAGATGCATTATCACGCTGCTTAAAGTAATTGTTTATCTCGTTAACAAAGCAAGTTGAAGATGTGGAAAAGGAGACAAGAGACACAAAGGAAAGGAAGAAGAGGAAAGCTTTGGCATCCATTCCTCTTGGGTGGTATAAGGTATTGAATGACATTCATGACTTTGAAAATAATATCCTTATTATCCTGAATAAAATCATGAGTAGCATAACAAATATAATGTTATGCATGGGAGGTTGGGGGAGCATGTGAATAAAATTCCCTTACACAGCATAAACCATAACCACCTCTGCATGTTATTACATTCACATACATACTCAGCATAACTTCAATTACATCAAAAGATTATGATAAAATAAATATAAAATTACAAATTTAAGAATTGATAAGTATCCTGTATAGTTTTTTTACTGTTTATCGTGAGGAGGACCGTAGCAGTATTTGGTGTCAGGGTTACGATAAGAGTTTTCGTGATGTACACTCTAAAATTTAAAAAATTCATCTGTTAGCACTCATAACAGTTAACGTACAAGATGATTTAGTGGCAAGGCAAATTTGCCTGTGGAAAGTTAATCGGCAAATTTTATATTGGCGATTTTGTGCCACGTGCCATTGAGCATGCTCAGATTGAAACAAAATGGCAGATTTTATATTGGCAAATTCTTCATAGAACCGCCAATCGCCAGTATTAATTCCTCGCCAATAAATCATCTTGTATGGCATACACTAACTTGTGATGATGTCCTGCATTTAGCAAGGCACAGCTCGAACTGGTCTTTGACGGACGAGTAAACTGGATGAATTGAATTGGTGAGAATATCTTGTAATACAGGCTTCTATGGATTAAATAAAGAAAGTCATTTATCCTATAATACTGATCTATTAATATACAAATGTACATGTACATGCAATACAGTAAAACCTTTCTTATTATAACAGATATTTTCTATAGCTGGACATTCAGGATTTCCCACAGGATTTCAGCATAGTGCTCAGAATTTTCCATTTTTTTATAATTTTTTTCTAATACATGTACATACATGTATACATATACATGTACTTATGTTGTGTAGCAAGTTTGAGCTGATTCCGACCGAAATTGGATTATTTATAAATTTTTAAAGGTACTAAGAAATCGGACCAAAGTCCCTGTCATTGGCTAAATTTTGCCAAAAATGACTAGGAGAGAATTCTCCATTTTAATAATTTTTTCTGACACACATACACATGTTCTCATGTTGTATAGCAAATTTACGCTGAATGAAAGAAACTGTATAGTGTAAAAAGTAGACAAGTTACTTTGTCAGAGCTGAGACAACATGAGACACAATGTTCATATACAGCACAGCACATTGAAGGAGCACAAGAGCTACAGTCAAATCTAATGGAGTGATCAATATTGCAACAACCTGTTGGATTAACCATTACTATTGGACACACATATCCTTTAGAGGAGGGAGAGAGAGAGAGAGAGGGAGAGAGAGAGAGAGAGAGAGAGAGAGAGAGAGAGAGAGAGAGAGAGAGAGAGAGAGAGAGAGAGAGAGAGAGAGAGAGAGAG